ATTTATATCTTGTTGCCAGGCTTTACAGTAAAAAAAAAACTTTAACAAACCAAAAAGAATAAAAATTAGAGTTAATTACTGTGAATGTAAAAAAAAATGTTACCTGCAATAATTATTTTTGCAAATTTTCGTTGAATTTTTTGGACATCAGGTGAGCCAACTTCCCAAGTAATTTTTTTTCAATTACTCTTTAAAACATGCTCTTTAATTTCATTTATTTTCATATGAACATATGGAATTTTTTTCAAATGCAAGTTCCCAAAGCATCATTCTGAAACTAGTTTATGAAAATATTTTAAGAATATATAAATATCTTCAATGAATCAAAGCAATATTTACCTAAATATTTCATATTTGAATGTATATCACACGGTATTTTCAGAAGTTTCTTTTAATTTTTCGGGAGCCATCTAGTGTATAATTTCATTTAAACAATTTATTTTACTAGTATCGATGAATCGTGATGAGCATATTTAAAATTTGCTATCTTCGGCTCGAGTTGTGAAGTCATCTGTTTTAGTTTATTTAGTTGTTATTGTTATGATTATCATTCATAAATACATAAATATTAATTCCATAATAGCAATAATGTCACTAAAATAAATTCACGACTTACTAAGATATTTGTACACCTAATGTCATGATGAAAAATTTCACAGGTATGCAAAAATACGAGATCACGACAAATATCAAGAACTATTTGTACTTTTGAATGCTATGCAATATCCTTTTTATTATATAATTCTTGAAGTGTGCCAAGTTCTGCCCATTCAAAAACCATAACTTGATAATTTGAAACTTTTAAAAGACCATAAAATTTAAGGATATTAGGAGAATCTTTTAATTTTCCTAGTATGGCAAGTTGTGTTTGAATTTTTTGACTTTCAAATGCATCATCTATAATTTTTGTACGTTTGCAGGCGACTTCAATAGCTCCATTTAGTAGTTTCTTAATGAGAAGTGATTCTTTGTTACCTCGTGTGTAAGTAGAATTTCCAATCTGAGGGTCATTTAATTTTCTCAGTTCTATCTCTGGAGCTTTGATGTTTTTAGTAATGGAATTTTGATATCTCAATTGATCTTTAATAATTAATACTT